TTGATTTAGAAATGGATTTTTATTCCTCATAAGAATAATACTGATTAGAATCAGGGACCAAGTTTCATCTCAACTGGGGAATACTTCGTTTGTTGTAACACTCTCTAAAAAAAAGAGTTTCTTTTGCTAAGAACGGGAAGATTGAAATCGAATAGGTATGCTAATTCCTCATCCTCAAATCCTGGTGTCTTGGACAGGGAAGGAATTCTGGATTTCTTTGAGGACATTCCGCCTATCGAGCTGTTTGAACAACTCTTTGTTTCCTTGGTAAGCTTTTCTGGTTATAATTTTTGTCGTTACACTGGTAATATTAGTGCCTCCAATTTATTTAAGAGTTTATTATTTTTATCTGCAATTATTCATAATAAGTATCTTAAAAATTACAGCAGTCATCCAAAAGTATAAACATCATCAAGAAATCCAAATTTTCACAATTGAGGCATTCAGGGAAACATTTATGGCAGAATTTTTTTTCATCAATTGTCACTACACTGAGGCCTGTTTTGTTTAGATATTAAAATTTATGGAGTAGAAACATTTGCTGTTGTATATATATATTTTTTTTTTGAGAGAGATGACGTTTCTCCAATGAACTGGTAACAGTCATATTTGGTCAAAGATTACCACCATCCGAGTTTCGTCTGTTAAGCTTGGGATACAATGACTTAATGAAGTATAATTATGCTATTTATGATGTTCTTGATAAGTAACTGTTTATTGAAGAATCACCTCCATGACTGAAGGTGACCTATGACAAGCTGACGTTTTTGTTGAAAATTTCTGAATTAGTATCGATTGCAGAGATAATACGGGAGAGGAAATAGTAATTGAACCTAAGATCTCTGGGATATCGGTAGACCACCACCAGTCTAACTCCAACTTCTATATTTTACCATGAGTTGTCAGAAAATTTGAAAAATCTTGTTTTTGGAATGATGTGACAAATTTTAACTTTTCCTTGTTAGAGAGTAGTCTAAAACAATATAAGAAGCATTTGAAGATATGAGAAATCACGGTCTCTTTGCAGGCTTTTTTCATTGACTTTGGTAGAAATCACCTAGGAGTTACCTTCAAATGGTATTGGCTTCGAGATAAACGTATTTTTTACACTCTCCAATCTAAAGTTATTAGTCTTTTGGGCACTTAATTATTGAATGGACATGTTTATCCATTGTGTTGTCAATATAGAAAATCTTTTGCATTTCTGGACGATGCCTCCGCCTAAATTCTGCTTTGTCAACATTAATTTATTAGACTGGACGTGAGGTCATGATTTAAATTTTTGGAAACTATAGTCTCTTCAATTATTTCAGGCAACAATGAGATTTAGAATATCGCGTACACATTAAAGCTAATATCGGGATGCTGTTTTATCACGAGGCATCATTTTGCCCAGTTTTAGGCATTTGTCATTGGTTCCTGTATTTTCTCTGAGAGATGAGATAATGAATCGATATGGATATCTTATGTGGTGCAAACATTGTTATCTTTTGGATTTTAGATTGCAGTGGGGTTTGTGATTGCCGAGGCTTCACTTTCAGCAGATCCTAATTTCTCAAAGCTGTTTTATGAGTGCAAAGATTATGTAACTTCCACTTGTCAAAAAAGCATCAGGGAGAAAGTCGATGATCTTTGGCAGGTAAGAGTCGAGGACTATTCTGATGGTATCATGCAGTTGCTGAAATAGGTTGGTAGATTACCAGAGCATTTATATATTCTGACTTGATGATCCTAAGATGGTGCGTGCATTTCTCGATCTCTATTTGAGGTTTTCCTAATGCGTGTCTTTCTGGGGAGTATTTGGAGGCAAGTGGTATTGAGCGAGCCTCTCAAACCAATGCATGTATTCAAGGCATATTTTCTTGAAGGAGTATCTAGCCTTTTCATACGGTCAATGATATCCGGGATAGATATCAGACGTTAGGGTATATAGGCCAAGCTTCTCATATCCTACAGGATGATCTCATTTCCTTGACTTCCTTAGGTAGCTCGCTACATACGTTTCTGCGTGCGCATGCGAACAGTTTATGAATTTTAGTCGTCAATGCCTTTAGTTGTCGATTTAATTTTTGTTACCTGGTGTATGGATGGGCTTTGTGTTGGACAGTTTGCTAGATAGCCATCACTCATGAGCCTATTTTCTTCCTTAGGTATATGAAACAGTGGAGATGATGCTGCTCAAACCCGAGGAAGCTTTAAAAATGATGCAGCCTCCGGAAGATGCAAGCACCACACCAGGTGAGCCAAGGCGCCGGTTCAAGAGACTGAGTCACATCTTCGGTGGCAAGGACAGACAAATAAAAGAGCAAGAAACGAAGAACCAGAAGAATGCGGAAGATAACCCGTCTCGTCAATCATTCGCCAGTTTCTTCGATAGCAAGTCGTCCTTATTTTCGCGGAAGCCTCCGAAGCCTGGAAGCGCATCCCTGGCCGAAAAGCCTCCATGTCCAGACGAAAATGATTGGACGATTGTGTAAATATCTTTATACCCTTTTCTTTTTTGTGTTTTCGCACCCCTTAATTTACGGGGTTGTTTATTACATCGTTTAGTTGATAAATGTAAATTATCTCGAATACCTAGCCAAGGATCTTCATTAGAAAGAAGCATCGATTTTTTCTACCATTAAGATTCGCACTGCAATTGAAAAGAGCAGTTCGCCTGAGAGTTAAAGTTCGTCCTTGCCCTAACTTCATTCTGACGATCTCTAAATCAATCGGTGTTACTCCACGAAGAACAAAAAGGTTTACTGTTGAATAATTTTTCCAAATAATCAAGCAAATGTTTTTAAAAAAATATTCTTTAATTTATATATTTTTTGCGAAATAAACGCATATTAATTGACATGCCTCCTACCTGTATGCCAAGGGGGAGATTCAGTGATCCTGAAGTTTATTAGATCACGTTTAACTTTTGTATTTGCCTGTACATGTAGCCCAGTATTAATGAGGCGTGGAGAGTTCAGCAATCCGTCTTCATCACTCCCTAAATTAAAGTTATCGAAGGGCCCATTTCTCTGACTTACAAAGCAATATTCATTTCTTTAAATCAAAAAATAAAAGGGAAATTGCAATTTATGGAGCTACCACAACTCGTATTTTAGACTTGAATTTGCAGGAAATGCGACTACTCGGTCAACAACAATAAATCGCGAACGGCTTTTTAACCCTCTTCACTGATGATATCTCGTGGGGTTGTCTCCAAATCTTGCTTGTACAATAATAGGAGATATTGAATGTCGCTTCTAAAATAATGTGTACATTGAATCGGGAGCCCCAAAATACATCTCACCAAATTCTAGCTTAGGACAATAATATTTGATCCTTAGACCCTGTAATACTCAGTATATTGTTAGCCTGTCGTGACGTAATAAAGCCACCTAAAATTAATTTTTCATCCCCTTAGTTAAACGGCGCTTACCGGCCTATAAGCTACCAATCAAGCTTGCTATATGTAGTCGCGTTCAATTACTTTTATGCGTAAAATAATTTTAAGAACATAAATATTTTCAATTAGCTGCCTTGATTGAGAATTTTAGGGTTAATACCACAAAAAAACCTGAACTGGTATATTTGTGACAAATTTACCTCAAACTAATTTTTAACCAATAAAATCTCCAAACGGGTACACTTGTGACAAATTTATCTTTTAATAGTTTCCGTTAAATTTTACCGTTAAATTGCTATATTTGATGGCACGTGGCAGTCGATGGATGTACCGGTTTAGGAGTTTTACCCTCCGTTACCAGTTTGTGATTTTTCGAGATATTAATATGATTTAACGTAAACAAATGGAGGGCAAATTTGTCACAAATATACTAGTTTGAAATTTTTGGTAATCACTTTTGGGTAAATTTATCATAAGTCTACCAGTTTGGGGTTTATCGTGATATTAACCCAGAATTTTAATATGCTCTCTATCCACCGACATGGAATTAAGGATGTCACGTGATTGTCAAAGTAGTAAACTTGCTTCAAAGATAATCTTACTGGGTCTCATTCATCTTGTTTTTATATATCACCTTTTTGCTTGTAGCTAGAAATTTTGTCATGTCATCAAGAGGGCAATTATATACAACTCGATTTATTTTTTATTTACGGGTACGGGCACATAACTACAAATTTTGAGTAGTTCGCATGCAGTATTAGATTGGAAATCCCTTAGTACCTCAATCTACTACGCCGAACTTGAGGATTTTATTATTTACTCTTAATGTACATTTTCCATGAAAAGACTTCATAGCAAATTCATTCTACACCAGTACTGAGGGAAAATTATTAAAAATGTCATAAACCGATTATACTTGTACCAATTCAGTAATAAACCGTTCAATTTGACCAATTTGATCACAAACTTTTACACAATTTACCAATTGAGTCTTTTCAACCAATTTTGACCGAAATTCGTTGACGTGGACGCCAGTCGTTTTACATGGCATAGCTGGTGTTGATGTGGCCTAGATCTGGCGAAGGCCTTCGCAGCCAGCAACCCTTGCTGGCTACAAAGAAAAAAAAAGCAAAGAAAATAAAATATTTTATAAATTTGCAAAAATTGTCTACGTCAATGCTAATTGTGCCACATAGGACAACTGACATCCACGTCGGCGATTTCCGACCAAAATTGGCATGAAGGACTCAATTGGTAAATTGTCAAAATGTTTATGCTAAATTGGTCAAATTGAAAAGTTTAGGACTGAATTGGCATAAGTGAAATAGGTTTATGATTTTTTTGATAATTTTCCCCTAGTACTGATGATGATTGAGAATTAGACACAGTCTGAATTTTCATATGGCCTCGAACTTTGGTTGTATTAGGAACCTGCAATTGTTTTCTAATGAAAAGGACAAACGGACTTTACGTAGGTAAATCTCGGACCCATGATATTTGCCACGGTGCTATAAATTTAAGTTATGAGTCATTATTTCCTTTATCTCGCTGTCTTGAAATAGAGAGAGAGAGAGAGAGAGAGAGAGAGAGAGAGAGAGAGAGAGAGAAGAGAGCCCTAAAGATGCAGATGAATACAGCTCAATTCCATGCAACGTCGAATCAAAAGTCCATGCAAATTGAGCTTCGGTCTTCCATGTCAGAAGCAAGTGGGCACATGCACTAAAGAGTAAGGCCTTTTCTTTTCTTCTTTTTCAAAGGCATACGGTTGGAGAGTGCATTTAAGTGCCTCAACACGGTTTTTCAGATGAGAAGATGGGCCAAATTTACGAACCCTTCTCAATCTTTAGACTCATGCCCACTCCTACATAAACCCCCCTATCGTCCCTCGACTTCTCACCAAACAAATCAAGATCTCTCAAAGAATTTGCTTAAACAACTTCACATTGAAGATGATCACTTCCAAGTTGCTTGTTTTTGTGCTTCTCGGTGCTCTAGTTTGCACCTCTGGCCACTCTAGGGTGCTTTTGGGTGAGAAGGCGTCCTTTGAGGAGGAGAAAAACTTCTTCCGCCAACCCGGATATGGCGGCGGCCTGGGTGGTGGAGGGGGCGGTGGCCTTGGAGGCGGTGGCGGAGGAGGATTGGGTGGCGGTGCTGGTGCTGGTGCTGGCTATGGTGGAGGAGCTGGTGCGGGTGGGGGACTTGGCGGCGGTGGCGGTCTAGGGGGAGGTGGTGGAGGAGGTTATGGAGGCGGTGGTGGGGGAGGATTAGGTGGTGGTTATGGTGGGGGAGCCGGTGGTGGATATGGTGGTGGGGCCGGTGCTGGCGGTGGGATAGGTGGTGGAGCTGGAGGAGGCGGTGGTGGAGGGTTTGGTGGCGGCGGCGGCGGCGGGCTTGGAGGCGGAGCTGGAGGAGGGTTTGGTGGAGGAGCTGGTGCTGGTGGAGGAGCTGGTGCTGGATTCCCTTGAAGATTGAGAACCAAATATAAAGATGTGTCTTTCCAAATGATTACTCAATGTTTTGCTTATCTAATGCTTAAAATGTTAAGGCAAGTGCGGCCAGATTGAAGAGTGCCTTGGTCTCTTTTGCACCTAAAATTTGATTGTATGTCTCAATAAGCTTTTTCCAGCAAATCAACGTACAAGACATGCATTTCGTAGTAATCATATGTTTAGATTATGCAGATTGCTCTCTCTCTCTTGCATAAAATTTTGTTGGCGGACTCGTTCGTGTGCATTCATAAATCTAGTATCTTTCTTTTTCTTTTGTTAGGATGCTAAAATATAGCCTATAGGTCGGTTGATGTAGTTCGACAAGCAACTGGTTCAGATGTATGTTGTCACGTCACGAGTTCGATTCCATCTATTTGCTGCATACTACGCCAATCCCTTGTGAGCCACCTGCATGGTTGGAGCCTGATCTTACATTAGTTCTGACCTGGGAAGGTGTTCATGGACCTCGAAAAAATTATTGAGCAAAGTTCGGATACCCCTCGTCATGTTTTGGCATCAGGATCGCAACAATGTACTAATTATCATACATCATACGTACGAAAGAAAGAAACAATAGTTCGGCAAAGTGGTTAAAGGTTCAATCTCAGAGGCATTCTTATCATTTGGTAGATCTAAGTCCATGGCCTATTTTGGGTTTGTTGCGACCGAACTCCCGAGCCCTTTTTTTGAACATGTGTAAAAAAGGAGAGGCTCGCCTGGTACGTGCTAAGTCTAGGTTCAGGACTTAACTCGGGCTCTCCCAAGCCCATACCATATCGCGACTTAGGGTTTAAGTATTTAACATGCAAGTGGTTTATACCAAGGAGTCGCCACTAATCGATTTGAGATGGGCCGATTAGAAACCCAAATAGGGTGATGGAAGAATCACCCTATTCCTGCGAACCAGAGATTAACTGAATTCGGGGACTTGGTTACACTAGTTGGATAACTAATGCCCTTTCGATACCTTTTTACCCTGTTCATTTCTGAAAACAGTTGTCAGGCAATTTGGATTGATTTTAGAACCTTTCTCCTAACATGTGAGGTGATCAAGCGAGTGCATAACCAGAAACGATTAGCAGTCAAAAACACAACAATTCTTGCAGCCTAAGCCTAAGGTTCTAACCTTAACTAAGTCAGATGACATTTAAAACACAACAACTCATGAAATTAAATTTTTTTAATTTTCTTTTTTTAAAATAAAATAAAATAAAATAAAAATATAATATTAACCGGGTCGGGTCGGATCCGAGCCAGGTCGGAACCGACCCGGGTCAACGGATCCGACCCAGGGCGTTGACTCGGGTCGGATCGGCTGATCTGGGTCGGGCATCGGAATCAGATCCGGTCAGGACCGACCCGGATCCGTGAAACCGACCCGAATCGACTGATTCGGATCGGGTAATCGGATCCGATTCGGATCTGACCGATCCGAGCCAATGAACCGGCCGGTTCGACCGGTCTTCGCGCCTCAGACGTCGAGGGGCCACTGACCGGACGAAATTCCGGCTATTCACCGGCTGTTTCATCCGACCAGTGACATTAATCTCTTCAGGACATCAAGCTGAAGAGAACCCAGCACCTGGTCGCCGGAAAACCGATCGGAACGGTCGCCGGCCGAGCTTCGACCAGGGCTCGTTTGAGCCCAAAAGTCGGTCGGAGTTTGGCCGGCGGACCCAGGTCGTAATTTGATCTTACCCGGCTTCCAGTGGTCAGCCCAGAGCTTCCCCAGGGTCACGCAGCCTCCGGTCAGCCTCGACATCACCGACCAGAGCTCAAACAAAACGAGCCTCTATTGGGCATTTTATCGAACAGGTGGGGGGCGCGGCAAAAATCAAGGGATCTCGACCTCCTCCGGCGACTCGGTCGGCTCCGACAACCACGGCTCGTCTCCAACAGTGAGTGAGGGCCAGGAACGACGTCGGTATGGGCCGGAATTCGCGCGAAACGGCCGGAGCGAGTCCCGGCCAAACCGAGGCAAAAAACAGGGGAAAACAGGGGAGCTTCTCGGCAGAGGGGGGCTCACCGGTCGACGGCGCGTCTGGATGGCTTCCAGCAGGTCTGGCGGCGTCGACGACCGCTGCTGGTTCTTCTTTAGCTCCGGCGGACTCTCGGCTCCCTCTCTCTCTCTATTCTCTATCTGTTCTCTCTCTCTCTCTCTCTCTCTCTCTCTCTCTCTCTCTCTCTCTCTCTCGGTTTTTCTCTCAAAAATGGCCGACCCACTCCTCTTCTCTCTTTCTCTCGTCTTTTATGGTCGCAGTACGAGCACGGCGGTCGCCGGAAGAGCTCTCAGTCTCTCAGTCTCGCTCAATCTCTCTCTTTCTCTCCCGGCTTCTCTCTGCTTTGTTTCTTTCGTAAAACGGCCGACCGAGCCTCTCTCTCTCTCTCTCTCTCTCTCTCTCTCTCTCCGGCTTTTATAGGTAGCGACGACGCATCTTTCTACCTCTCTGCGTCGGTGTGACGACGGCCTGCACCGGCCTACGCCACCCCACGACTTTCATGGCCATTTGCAGGCCGGTGCAGAGCAGAGCAGGGGAACAGGGAGCCGAGAGGGAGGAGGGGATAAGGGAAGCCAGGAAAATGGGAAGGACGGGACTTGCCTTAATGGCCAGTCCTTGTGGCGTCCTACCCCGGCCCTGCTCTGGCCGGATAGGGACGGCGAGGGGTGGCGCCGCCGTGCGTCACGCTGCCGTCGGGAACAGGGGAGAACAAGGGCAACGAGAGAGACCATGGACGGGGGAAGATGGAAGGAGAAGGGCTGGGCCGGGTCAGGCCCAGCCGCGCGCGGGGGGAAAAGAAAGAAAGAAAAGCGGACTGGGCCCGCGTGGAGGGGGAAGAAAAGAAGAAGAAAGAAGAGTGGGCGGGGGCCCATGCGGGGAAGGAAAGGAAAAAAGAAAAGGGCCGGGTCGGCCCGACCCCGACCCGGCCAGACTAGTTTTTTTTTTTTTTTTTGAAATTTTTTTTAAAACTTTAATAGGCCCTATTAGTGCAAATGTACCTAATTTCTATATGCAATGCATTTAAATAGAAATATTTTTTTAAGGAATTAAAGAAAATTAATTCCTAAATTTTGTGTAATTAATTTTGGGCAAATAAAAAATAGGTGTCAACAGCTGCCCCTCTTTGAAGGTGAGCTCGCAGAGGTTGAGCTTGTAGATGTTACATTCAAAGATAAAATGACACCTAAATTTGGCCTATGCATGCTCAATGAATGTTATTTTTGGCGAGACTGGAGTCTCATTTTTATGATGCGATATAAGATGATGCATGCTAAAGCAAATAAAAACATGCCTGGGGCTATTTACCTTGCCGAAGGGTAAAGTAATTCCAAATAGTTGATATTGTGTGTCGAGGACCCGAACTTGTCTTCGGTCGCCTTGACGGGAAAAATGGTTTGTCTAGGACCCGAACCTTTCTTCGGTCGCCTTGACGGGGATTGATGGTTTGCCTAGTGGGTCCTCGCCAGCAGGTCTTGGAGAGACTCAAACGATAAGCACCTGGGGGTCCTCGCCCGAGGATTTGATATGAACAGGGGGTCAGTCCCATGCTCAAAGGGTGAACAACGGGGTCAATCCGATGTTCAAAGGGTGAACAATGGGGTCAATCCGATATTCAAAGGGTGAACAACGGGGTCAATCCGATGTTCAGTTGGTGAACAACCGGGTCAATCCGATGTTCAGATGGTGAACAACGGGGTCAATCCGATGTTCAGAGGGTGAACAAAGGGGTCAATCCAATGTTCGATTGGTGAACAACGGGATCAATCCGATATTCAGAGGGTGAACAACGAGGTCAATCCGATGTTCAGAGGGTGAACAACGGGGTCAATCCGATGTTCAGTTGGTGAACAACGGGGTCAATCCGATATTCAGAGGGTAAACAAAGGGGTCAATCCAATGTTCGATTGGTGAACAACGGGGTCAATCCGATGTTCAGAGGGTGAACAACGGGGTCAATCCGATGTTCAATTGGTGAACAACGGGGTCAATCCGATGTTCAATTGGTGAACAACGGGGTCAATCCGATGTTCAATTGGTGAACAACGGGGTCAATCCGATGTTCAGTTGGTGAACAACGGGGTCAATCCGATGTTTAGAGGGTGAACAACGGGGTCAATCCGATGTTCAGTTGGTGAACAATGTTCAATTGGTGAACAACGGGGTCAATTCGATGTTCAGAGGGTGAACAACGGGGTCAATCCGATGTTCAGAGGGTGATCAGAGGGGTCAATTCGATGTTCAGAGGGTGAACAACGGGGTCAATCCGATGTTCAGTTTGTGAACAACGGGGTCAGTCCGATGTTCAGAGGGTGAACAACGGGGTCAATCCGATGTTCAGAGGGTGAACAACGGGGTCAATCCGATGTTCAGTTGGTGAACAACGGGGTCAATCCGATGTTCAGAGGGTGAACAACGGGGTCAATCCGATGTTCAGAGGGTGAATAACGAGGTCAATCCGATGTTTAGAGGGTGAACAAAGGGGTCAATCCAATATTCAAAGGGTACCATAACAATTGTAGGTACATGATTTTTTTGAACCGGGCATGGGTAGAATATACTTACCTGGGCACGTTCCTGCCTCTTAAGGGCGTGTCTCCTGTCAGATAAGTTTTTGTGCAAAGACATATGCATTCATCGGAGAAATAGACAACTAAGGCTATTTCAGAATATCATATGAAATATCTTGACCAGCTAGTCAAGATGCTTTTCTTTTTTCAAAGGAACACCTTGTTTACCTTCTGGGTAGTTTGAAAAGAATTTTGATGAAATATCTGGGATTTCTTACCCGGAGGTTTGATGGTTCATCTGCTGAATACCCGACCTTTTTCGGGGCATCTCTCTTGGGATGATAATGAGGGCTTTTCCAGTGCCCGAATTTTCATGTTCTATCACTGGGGATTAGAACTCTGAGCTGCAAAAGCATGCTGTGTCAATTCCACTTGGGGAATAGAAATTTTTTTTTTGTGACATCTTTGGAGACGCTCCAAAGGTCATATGTTCTTTGAGTCTTTGAGGATATTTTACCTGTCAAAGAGGGTTAGCGCAACATGCATGCATTCATCAAGGATAGACAAGCTATGCTATTCCAGAATGCGCATTTGAAAGTTCATGCATGATGATTTTGCCATGTTTGCATCACCAAACATCCACCGAGGGTCAATTAAGACAATTTTCGCTTGGGAGGTGGACTT